TCTCATGGCCATTTATGATTACTCATCGACAATTAAACAACAGTCAGCACCGAGTGCACACTGTTATGCATGATGTTGGAGCAGAAAACACTAGTGCCAAAAAGAGTGTTGAAATTTGGGGGAAGACACGGAAAATTCTGCTTATGGAGTATTAAAAAGCCATCACTGCAGGTCCGGCTGGCAAGTGAAAAAATGTTACGGGCAAACCCTGTCCATGCACGATGCTGGATTGGACAATGATGTACACGCCGTTGCTATCCTCGCTCGCTCTGATGCTACATTGTCGGCTTTGTTATTCCACCACTTTGTATACAGTTTCACAGTCTTTTGGCAATTCCATAATTCGGTGTGGTAACTTCACCACTCAATGTGCCTTTTGCGCACAAAAGTTGGAAATATTCATATGTTTTCTGGTATGTGGTCAAGGGGGGGGTGTTGTGACATCCAACACCAAGTTTCGTGGAATTTTATGAATTGTGTCACATTTTAGGGCTGAAAAAAATGTGTCCTTCCTCCATGGTTCTACATAAGCAAAATATGCTAATCAACTTTTCCTCTGCATCCGTCAAATTTGAGCCATCGTGAATGTATCCATCTCTTCTCACAGCTCAAAAAAGGAAAAATCAATCCTGTCTTTACTAGGAAAGACAGGGTCCTGTCTTCACAAAACACCTGCTTTACATTCACAACATGTGGAAAGAAAGTTTTGTGGTTTTCACTAGTTCCCTTCGCATTTCGCTATCACGGTTTTGAAAACACGCACGCAATATTACTTCATGCAAGGTTTCCACTGGTTCCCGGGGGCCCAGACCTAAACAGGTATTCAATCGCTCCTTTTGTTGGTAACTGCTGCGCTAATTCCTGGCTGTCTATCACAACTAATCTTTTATTACGCTTCTACAGTTAATCCGCTGTTTTCACACCTTCCAATTTCCATGGTGGGAAGCTGGACTGGTGTACGTTATGAATAACAATAGGACCATAAGCTACCAAGATGTTGACGTGAAAAGTCCGTGAAACTGCTGTGAGCTAATCCGCTCCCAAGCTGATCAACTTTCCACCGTGAAAATGGGCTTACATTGAGTTGACAAAAATTTCACGGTGATTTAATGGTAAAACTGCATTTTCACGGTGTTGAAAGTTCATAGTGGGAGTTTGACACTTTTCAGGTTTTTTGTTTGACCCCCACAAATTTAGTACCACTGGAAAGAGAATTTCAAAAGAAATTGAATGATGTAAAATTTAGTTCAAGAGCTGTAAGTATGGTGAAGTTATGAATTTTTTGTTATTAAAGTTAGATGTAATTAGTCTGTAACTTTTGCCTTTTGGGGAGTGGACACAAGTTTTATTTTCATCATTGTATTTGAACCACATAGAGTATTGTTCCTCATCAGTTTCAAGTTCCAGACATGCCAGAGTTGGACAAAGATCTGTAGTTAAGTCACAGAGGAAGTGTAAAGTAAACAAAAACTTTTATAATGGAGAACTTTATCAATAATAAACACAGGATATATGTACATCATGTATATGGTAACAGGACAGTTGAGTTGGGCTTGAAATTTTTAGTGATGGTGAAAAATCACTGAAGCATAGTTTTGATGTGATATTTTGTCATCGATAAATAGCTTTAAAAATAGGGAGCGAAGTCTGTCGTGTGTCATAAGTTCCTTTAAGTCTGTTCATGTTGGACAGGGTCTTTTGATAACATTTTATTGAAACAACCCGTGGCTTATTGCGTTTGTTTTTACATCTTGCTCCCCGTGCACCATCCATGCATCAATCTCATGCACATGCATACACCATATGTGCACAGCTGTGCAACAGCACCTCAGTAGAAAAGGGATAGTTAGACATCGATTTTTGACAAAAAACAACTTCCTTTTCTTCCTGAAATTCAAAGCTTCCAAATAAGCACCGTTTCAAATATGTTTCATCATTTCCTTATACATGTTTTGGGGTGATTTTCAACAGAAAAATGCACTTTTTTGTTACCTTTTTGTAGTCTTCACAAACCAAATCAAGGCTTGACATTGCTTTAGTCAAATGCCTCGAGTCGTTCATCGAATGAAAGAGTACTTTAAGCTCTACACTTCTTACAGTGCAACGTTCTTTGATAATGATTGTTCGTTGTCTTTTCTACAGGTGTGGACCGTGTCAACGATTTGCCCCCGAATTTGAAAAGCTTCCAGTTCAGTACCCAGATGCAGTGTTTGTGAAATGCGATGTGGATGAAAATCCTGTAAGTCTGGATTTTTTTCTTCTTTTTTCTTTTTGTGGGTTTGGGAGAGTGGCTTGTGATGGCGGTCATGATGGTTGTTGTAATTGCTGTTTGTTTGTGCATTTGGTATTTGTTGTCACTGTATTTTGCAACACTTTTCAGAAAGTTACAAAATCTCTGTGGGCATTGTAAAAGTAAACTTTGGAGAAAGTTTTGTTTCCAATGTTTGTACATTTTCATTTATGTTTCACCTTTTGGGTAGTCCTTACTGGAAGTAGAATTGCAAAATGAAATCAAGTTTTACTTGAGTAAAATTCACATGCCATGTGTAGTACAGTTACACTGGCTCCAATTGGTAATATGGCACGTTAATAAATGGGCCGTGTTAGGAACCATTTTAAAACAATACTTCATGTACATGCATGATGCATTCATGTCCTAAGTGCCGAAGTCAGCAATAAAAAAGTGAGGCAAAGAATTTTCAAAAATAATCAAAACTAGCAAGATATGTGTATTTATCTGCAAAGTAATTGACGAACCTGCATATTTTTCTCTGTTTTTGGTGTTTTTTTAGGTTAAATCCCTTGGCTTTGTATCAATTATCATGCAAAGGTTTCTGCACCAGAGTTGCCAATGTTGCCATGAACAATGCACACCGCACCACGTGCTGGCTATTGTTGTTGGCTGTTATTCCATGATGGTTATGATTTTCCTCATCTTCGAGTTATTATCACTTCTATATGTTTCTTTTTATTTAAAAGTGCACAGAAATTTCAGGAGCCAAGGGGGATGTTTGACACACCTGAATATTCTGTACAGCAGTGCTCATTACAGTAATATTTTCAAACCTTATTACACTTGGCTTAGCACCGGTGGAAAACACACTTAACGATACCCTAGTTATGGGGACTGCACACGCCTTGAACAACAGTTGTTGTGGGAACCAAAGTCACAAACATATTCTCAGAATTCTTGTGATGAAGTTCTATCCTCATAACTCAGTCCAGGATTTCTTAAAACAAATTGTCCCCTCAATGTGGTACGTCTAGAGCTTTGTGTCGTCTGCATGTGGATCATTTCAATCTATAGAGTTCGGGAAAAAAAATTGGTAGCTGCCTGTCGCACAGCTTCCCCAGAGTGCAGCAATAAATTGATTGATTTGACTGATTTAACTAATTTGATTGATTAACTTTCTTTTCACACTCACCAGCAATCCAGCAGCAAGAATGGCATCCGGGCCATGCCCACCTTTGTCTTTTTCCGCAGCAACTCCAAGATTGATGAACTACGCGGTGCCAAGCTGGCAGACCTCAAGCGGAAAGTGGAGAAGTGGCTGCAGCCTAGTTCAGGTGGTGACCAGGAAGACAAGACCAAGCATTATGTAAGGACTTGATTGTGTATGGTAAAAGTGTCATGAATCGACCTGAAACATAATAACTTCATGCTTTGTTTGCTTGTGTGCTTTCCAATGAGGCTTGATGAATCATTTCACACCTCACTGCCATCGGAATCTGAGGTTGTGTGACAAAATCTGGGATATCCTGGGTGCTGGACATGAAAGTGTGTAACAAAACGTGGGATATCCTGGGTGCAGGATCTGAAGTTGTGGGACAAAATCTGGGATATCCTGGGTGCTGGACATGAAAGTGTGTAACAAAACGTGGGATATCCTGGGTGCAGGATCTGAAGTTGTGTGACAAAATCTGGGATATCCTGGGTGCTGGACATGAAAGTGTGTAACAAAACCTGGGATATCCTAGGTGCAGGGATCTGAAGGTGTATGACAAAATCTGGGATATCCTGGGTGCAGGGATCTGAAGGTGTATGACACAACCTGGGATATCCTAGGTGCAGGGATCTGAAGGTGTGTGACAAAATCTGGGATATCCTGGGTGCAGGGATCTGAAGGTGTGTCACCCAACCTGGGGTACCTGGGTGCAGCATCTGAGTGTGTGTGACAAAATCTGGGATATCCTGGGTGCAGGGATCTGAAGGTGTGTCACCCAACCTGGGGTACCTGGGTGCAGGGATCTGAAGGTGTGTCACCCAACCTAGGGTACCTGGGTGCAGGGATCTGAAGGTGTATGACACAACCTGGGATATCCTGGGTGTAGGATCTGAAGGTGTGTGACACAACCTGGGATATCCTGGCCATTTTAACACTGTGACTCAGAGCTTGAGTCAATTTGAGTCACAAATTTTTGAACAAATACACAACTACATGTAAGTCATATGTTGGTATTTTCATTTAGACACTGAAAATAAATTAGGGTGACAGGTATCTAGCCAACTAAAACTTTCCTTTTAATTTTTTGAGACTCGAGTCTTATAAGTTTGTACTCGAGTCGAGTCTCCATGAAAGTTTGAGCTGAGTTGAGTCATTTGGTCACAGAGACTCGAGTCGAGTGATTTACCTGTCGGGAATCGAGTTTAGTTGTCAAAAATTGTGACTCCAGTTGGATTCAAGTTGAGTCATTGAAACTCTGACTCAACTACAGTGCTGTCTCTTAGAGAGGAAATTGATGCAACATATCTTTTCTCCAATTTACATTAAGTCTCTCTTAATATTTAAATTAATTTCACAGATGAACTTGGTGTCATTAATCGACAAGTCGTCCGTTGAGTGTTTAAACCAGAGTAACGAGCACGACTTTGAAGCATGCCTGACAAACGATGACAGATATCTGGAATCTGACTGCGATGAACAGGTATCATAGCCGTGTACGAATTGGTCTCTGGATTTAATCAGCCATGATTGTGATCTGATTTGATAGGATTTGGCTTTATCCCTCACTGAATCTGTTTCCACTGACTTAGTGTAACATAGGGGCTAGAAACTACGCACAGGCCATGAGCATACATGCACTGATAAATAATGCATAACAATGGTCCTCATTGTATAATTCTTCAGAACTAGGTAGGCCTATTGTTTACTTATCCTTGGAGTGTCAATTAAACTCATAAACATTGCTGATACCAGGTGAGGCACTCTGGCCAGTCAAGATAGAGTATGTGAGATTTCAGTGGTTTATAATTCATGTAGTGGATATTTAGCCATTGCCAGCAAATTTACAGGACGATAGTTGGCCATCTACAAATAGACAGCGCCCAGTTTGGTTTGGATATAAAGTTATTAGATGACCTATATCCCTCTGGTGAGGTCCATAGTTTTAATGGATAGTGTGTCCATCTTGAGAATGTACGCAAAGTGCTCCCAGCTGGGTTCGAGTCCCAGCTGCCAGCTCCTGTTTTGCATCTCAATAAATTAAAAATATTTTCTTTTGTTTTGTAATGGGTAGCTGCAATGAATTTGTCTTAGACACAAGTTTTCTTAAACTTTATATTCTTCTTATATGTATGACAGCTCTTTTACTTCCTATTTGGTTAAATGCATTTAAAGGTGCATGTGTTTATACAATTAAAATTATCCACGCTTTCCCTGACAACTGAGGGCGCTGTTGCTGTGAAGTCATCTTGGGAAGACATGGTTAGTTCATAGGTCTTTCTATTCAAATTGTGAACCCAGAAATTTCTAACTGAAAACATTGTTGTGAAAGACATTGATGTTATCTTGTTGCTGTGCACATCAATGATTCAGCAAAAAAGAGAAAACCGAGTCCAGGACAATCTACCAAAATGCAGGACTTTTTTGGGTCCAAACTAATGTAACACTGAGGCTTCTTCCTGAAATAACATCACAGTTTTACTCATGAATTTGGAAATATTCATTAGCATAAAAACCTAAAAGGCAGTAAAATACCTTTTGATCTTGTGAAACAATAAGTGGAAATAAGGTTAACTTTGACACAAAGGTGCATTTTGAAGGTCTGCATTCAAACAAATTGATTGCAGCTACCCTTTAAAATTGACTCCAACATTTAATTACAGAGTACTACATTTTCTCTGGAGAATTTTTTTTAGGGAAAGAAGTCAGAAGTTATAAAGTAGTCCGCCTCGTCAATAAGTAGTGACAGCAACTATTGTTGGAATAGACCCAGACTAAGATTCATTACAGTAAGAATTCTAAGTCCAACAAACAGTTACTGCGCACGTGCCTGGCTAAATAGCTTTTATCAAACAAACTATCTAAGGAAACTGATTAGGTGTTTACATATAACTCTTAGGGATGAACAAAGAAATTGACTGGAGTGGGATTTGAACCTGTGACCTCTGGAATACGGTCCCGCGCTCTACCAGCTGAGCTATCCAGCCCTATGTTGGTGGTTCTTCCCATTTGTTAATATCTTTGTTTGGGGACGCTAGTCGGAAGCCATAAAACCTGAAACACCATATAGCCAGGGATCACGCCTGAAATACACTATGCAACCTGGGAAGTGGTGAACAGGGATCCGTCAGGAGGATACGGGTTTTTAAACACAAATCATCAAATAAACTTTTAGTAAGATTTGTCGACAGCGGCTAAATATCCACTGCCTTTCCAGTATTATTTCCAACTAAAAAAGGACTTTAAGATGTGTACATGTATATTGGCCAAATTGTGAATTGGTTGGAACTCCTTTGCTGTGCTTTTTGTTCCCCAGTTGATTATTACCGTAGGTTTTATTCAGAATGTGAAGTTGCACTCGCTGAAGATTACAGGCCCCGAAGGCTTCGTCCCGAAGACGGTCAAGATTTTCATCAACCAGATTAAGACCTTGGACTTTGACAAGGCGGAGAAAAGTGAGGCAGTACAGGTGTTGGAGTAAGTGGATTCCAAGTCAAGTTCCAAGCCAAGCTCAAAAGTAGCTATTTTTCCTATTGACATTGAAAAACTAATTGGGATGGTGTGGTAGGACTGATCTTATTTGACTAGAAATCGTTTCAAGCAAATATATCAGGATAGGATGATGGCCAATTGGCATGTGCTTGTTTTGTTTGTTTACAAGTGAAAGTGTGAGATTGGGTGTTCTATCTGTGCATGTAAATATTACAAATCTTCACTGTATAATGTTTGGTTGAATCTTTTAAGGAATATGTGAATTTTAAGAAAATAGGTGGCATGCACAAATACACAAAAGCAAACCTATTCTTAAGTTGACCAGCTTTAAAAAGTAAAGTTTTTATAAAAATTGATGTGCACAGAGAATAGGATCTGGATTGGTGCTGTATGGTTTTTTATATTGTAATGATGTTTAAAAACGAGAAAGACAGGTTCTGCACTTCTGCATTTTGTATGCCAGTCGGTTAACTAGAAACACAATTTTTTTTTTATTTGGCCTATTGTGGCCAGGGCACGGTGTGTTTTGGTGGCTTGCTGTAGTTGGCTCCAAATGAGGCTAAGGGAGCATTGACTTCATCTGCAGCCACAAAAATTTGGGGCCTTTTTTTAAGTTGTCAACACTGTTTGTGCTTCGTTGTCAGCTTGACAAAAGATGACGTGCTCGAGGACGTTGTTATTCCACTGCGCTTTGTCAAGTTCCAGAATGTGTCTTCTGTGACAGTAAGTTTCGTTACATTTCTGATTGTTCCTTCCTTCCTAATTCATATTTCTGTTCGAAGCAAAACACTCAAAATAAATAGTGGAGATTTATTTTGAAGATTCCTGAAGGCAGGGCCATTTCCCCGGTTAAAAATACTTCCCTTTAAATCATAACATATGATACAAAATGAGACTTATGTCAAGAAGTTTGTACGTTTCATTTGCTTGAAAGCACATGTGCATTTTTTCAAACATAACATGGAACATTTAAATTTCAGAGTCGTCCCTTAACATGTAAATCACTCCTTGATCTTCTGACCGCTTTTCTTACCCTCTTGTTATCAATACTAAGTGGGAGTTGCCATTGACAAACTCATCACTTCCGTGCAGTCCGCATGCTTTGAACAATTGTAGCGTTTGGCCGATTTGATCCACCTGTTTTTCTCCTGTTTTGTCTCCATAATGCAGTTATTTGTGAGGGACAATCAAGGAATGGAAGACACGACTCGGATCAGGCACCTGGCTTTCATCGGTCTGCCCATCAGCACTACAAACATGGGAGAGTTCAAGAGGGTAATTACAGTCACAGCATGGTTTTTGCTTACACCCAGTAACCTATCCCAGGCAGAGCCATGTACAGAGAGAGTTGTGACATACGTGTCATCTTTGTAAGAAACAAACTGGCAGGTGTGTGCCCTAGTGGACACAAACAGTTTGTTTATAATAGTTTATAATACGCTCTACTGTACACATAATGAACAGCCGTTTGCCCACCTTGGGAGAAGCACCCCCTCATTGGTTGCAAAGAGCTGTTTTGGTGGGAGTATTCATTTTGTTGGTGGCAATGCCACTGCAATGCTTGCATGCTGTAGTCGGTCGTGAACCAGCAGAGTGCAGGTCCAACCAAAGGAGCCTCTGTTGCTGGGAAAATTGCGCCCTCTCTTGGTGCCACTCAGGGCGATTACAGCTCTATAATCCCAGGTAGTAGAATAACGGCAGTACTGTTAACCTGTTGGCAGGAGTTTTTCTGGAGGGGTATCAAACTCAGTGGATAGCACGGAGCGGTGTCTGAAACAGGCTTTTAGAGTAATGGCTGTGGCTACTACCTGCGTTTTTGCAACCCAAAGACTCCTGGACCTAGCCGTAGACATACAGTACAGATGTACTGTCACCTAAGCTGAAGCCCTTTCATCCTCTCTTACCTCCCATTTGTTGGCGACTGATCCTAGCCATGCTGCCAACCATTAATTTCTGTGGTCAGATTTTTGGAGGAAATGTCTAGCATTGTGGGAAGCTTGTTGGCATTATTAATGCACAGCGCTTTGTCTGCACAACAGGATATTGGGATGGGATTGTCAGGATTTTTAGGGATTGAAGGATTTTTTTTACCCCCAAAACTCAGAATTCGTAGAGGTTTAAACCTTGTTGTCCTCAATCCGTAACCTGTCAGAGAACAGATGGCTGTTATGGTTAATCATTAAGGTTTTTGCCACTATTTTTGCACTTAGTACAAACCCCAAAAGCAAGATTCACATAATCATTTCCGTTTGGGAGAGAACTCGAGTCTTGTCAGCTAAAAAGCCATTTCAAGCTCTGAAAAGTCAGGTTTGATTGTTGTCATTGCTGCCGTTCCTGTGTTGGATTTTTGTTAGAATTCTCTTCATCTCCAAATCTCACCGTGCAATGAGCTTACATGTATAAACATCATCTGGAAGTCATTGCTTGAATCCACTGGAGGCAGATTTTCAAATACAATTTCTCTTTTCTCAGATCTCTGGAAAGTCGGGAGAGAGTCACTGAGAACGCATCCGTAGCCATGGTGACTGGGCAGTACGTGTTCTATCAGGAGTTTTCTATGGATTTCAACACAGTTCCTACAAAGTGACTGCGAGCGCGGGAGTGATTATAGGCTGGTTCCCTGCCATGACCAAAATGTGACAAGTAGCCGTCAGCCACAAAAACAGAGTATAACCTGACATAGGATGCTCCTTCTGTTTTCAGGTGCAGTGCGAACACGTTCATTAGTTTCTGACTTGTCAATGTAATCAAAGTTGTGCAAAAGTGGAGTTCAATATGCAAAATATAACAAGGAAAGTCAAGGGAATTTTTCTAAAATAGAGATGCGTGTGAGGGGATGTGCAGAAAGGAGCAACCTGTACACATCCAATATTTGCAGATATTGACGATGGACCCAAAATCAACAAAATAGGTTCAGAGAATATGGGCCAGTCAGAAATTTGTGGAAACAGGAGGAAGTTTTGGTCAAATAACCATGACAGTTGCCGGACCCAACAATCTCTTGATATAGGTAGGATCTTTTGATAAGGGAACCAGACTAGGATTAAGCTGAAAGAAATACTTTGTAGGTATGTCATGCTACAGTTGTCAAAGTAATGTGCTAGTGTCAAGAAGTCAAGGGAGGTGTGAATTTCTCTCATATTTGAAAGAGAACTGTTACTGTGGAAAGCAAAGCAAAATTATGGATTGTTTCCGAGTGCGTCCCATCTTCATTCCATTGACATATTATGGGAAAAAAATTACTTGAAAGAAAAACGATTAGAGAAGAATTATAGTCGGGATTCTTCGTACCTGTTGCTCACCCGTTTCAAAATTGCTGTCTTGTACGGACATGTGTGTCATTTCTATGGAAAATTGTCACTCTTTCACTGACAGCTTTCTGCTTTGAAGGACATCCTAAAAGCTCTAAGTGGGACAAAATAATTTGTTATTGGGACATTATGGAAACGCTGGAAATGTTTATTCAACTAAAGCCCTACTCTAAAAGGTATTATAACCTTGACCGTGCAGTCAGGAGGTTATGTAATTAAAACCGCAAGTAGGGGGCTAGATTTTACAGCATGTAACGATCTTCAATCCATACATGTACAAATACATGGTGGGATTCAACTTCGTAACTGCTCATGAAAACTTCAACCTGTAACTGGCTTGTTAGTTGTTGTAGGAAGCTGTGTTGGTAACCATTGGTATGGTCTTTGTACTTTTGAGGGGCATTAAAAACCGTGTAAAGTAAATGGGGCGAAGCTCTTGTACACAACTCCAAAATCCTGTTGGCAGATTTTGAAGGATTGGGGAGGCTTAGGGTAGATATAATTACCCCCCTCCTGTAATTTTTTTTACTGTCAAAAATTAACAAAAAATCGGAATAATTTCTGTATAATTTCAGTGGTTCCTGGGGGGTTCGGAATATTGTATGTGAAGCCCAAGCAGCATCTTGTTCGTGTATGCCTTACTATCCCATAAAATCATTTTGGCTGTAAAACAGCATGAAAGGAGACCGGCTTAGATACGGCAATCTCGTGCGCACAGGAAAAATCACGATTGTAAAGTCTTTTACAAGAGCACTTAATATCCCGCTGAGATTAGAAATGGCAAAAATGATTTACATTGTAATGGCACTTTCTGAAGAAAAAAATGAACAAAAACGGAAAACCTGAGAGAAAAAAATCAAAATGACACCTCTGTGCATTTTCAATGGCTTGCTCACACTTCTTGCAGCCAAGGCCATTTGTGTGCATGTATACATAATTATGAATTTATTAGTGAAAAGGTCAACTGACCAATCCAGTCAGCCAATTTCTTGTGGTAATTTCTGTGGTCTTGCATCACAATACAGGTTTTACTGCATAGATTGCCAAAGATGCACTTACAGGAGAGATGTTAATTTTCAGTCAGAAATATTTCTGCCCTTTCACCAGTGTATATTCATAATACTGTGTGTCCAGTTGCGTCTGTAAGCTCATGAAAACAATTCACAAGCTTACTTGTGTGGGGCTCGAACCCACAACCTCCTGCTTACTAGTGCAGACATTTTAACCACTCGACCACCGTGCTGGGCTGGGTCAGCTGGCCAGTCCGAGTCAGATGTAGCAGCGGGTGCTGCAGACTGTCTCCAAAGATGTTGCATCGGGGAGATGTTAGTTTTGAATAATAGCTTTAACATCTGCCTGACACAAGTACATCAAAATAGTAAACATCAAGTAGCCAAGTTGTTGAAAATGATTGCATCGAGGTGATGGAGTTATAAATGCTCAACATTCATACATCAACACTGAAATTATGATGTGGATCCCAATCACTTCAAAGATTCAAATATTTAATCTTGTCTTAGGTGCGATACTATTAATCTGTTACATTAGAGTATTTATCTGCCATTTAATGTAGATTAATTACATTAACAGTTAATTCGAACAAAGTTTCTCACGTCTTAAGTTTTGCTGTAAGATCCCTGTATTGGTTACCGGTAATACATATATGTAGATGTAATTCACCTCTGAAAAGGCGGCACGGCCAATAAAAATAATGATCCAACACGTTTTCAGATAAACTCCCAAGAAAAAAAAGAGTAATTAGTTGGACATTGCTTCCAGCACACTGTAGCCACGTGCTTGAGCAGGCCAAAACTTCCTGAACACGTGCAGTGTCTGTGCTTTCAAGAGCTCCGCTGATTGGTAATTACAGGAGTAGCATTCTGTGGTCAGTAGAATCAGGAAATTGGTGTCTGCTTCTGTGAAAGTTAAGCGAACAGACTGGTTACCAGGAAGAAAATATGTCCCAGAAGATGAAATGATAAACGTGCAAGAAAGGCAAGATTTTTTTTTCATCTACTTTTATTTCAATCTTGTAGGGCTTGTTTGTCAACAAGCCAAGTACAGTATTATAACTTTGGGAATAATGAAAACACTTGTACCTCGAAATCTTGTAACATTCTAAAATTAATGACAACTAATCTTATATCTGGGCAAAAGTTTTCACCAGAAGACAGCTTAACATGCCAGCACATAAATCTGTCCACAGAGAAACTACGGCCATTTCTTTCCAATGGTCCCGTGCAGTTGTAACGGAGGTCCAAGAACTTGTGCTGGCTGAATCCAAGTCGGCGAGCATCCTGTGACAAATTCAAAAGGACTTCCTCAAGGTTCTGAAGAATCCCCCCAATTTTTCAACAATGTTTCTTCGTTAAATTCCGATACTCTCCTTTGTGGTTGCAACTGTTGGGTGTTTTTTTTCAAGATGTAAAAATCGGTTGCATTTGGCACATAGATACCAGTCACAGCCATTGTCCATCCTCTCACTTTGTTTTTTTTTGGGGGGGAGGGGCTATGACATGGATTTGATAGTTCCAGGAAGGCTTCAAGATTTGCTCCAGTTCCAATGGACATAGATCACTTTCACAGAGTTGCTTGGCAGCAAAATTGTCCAAACTGAAGCAGAAAAAGGAGGCTACCCTTAAGCATACTTTTGTAGCCTTTGCTCCAGCAGTCAGTTTACGAGAAGATGTGTATTGTAGCATGCTGCATCGTCATCATCACCCGAAGCTGCACAAAGCCATCACAAATCCAGTCTCTGAAGTTAAACAAGCTCATATTACACTGATTCACATCTGTCCCTGGTTTCTGTGAAACAGATGAAAGTCCCATGAAAGTGCCCAGCAATCGACGTAAAAATTGCGCTGCAGGCTGGCGCCTTGCATTCGTGTCCTCCTTCACAGTGCATGACGCATGTCCTGGTTGGGGTGAAAATGTACATATCAGAGTGAAAATTGGAACTGTCTCCATGTCAGCCATCTTGGAGGTTGTGATCAGCTCGGTTTGGAGCTCTCTTGCGAGTAGTCCTGGAGGACGCCTGCCAAGTGATCATTGTGAGTTTTGAACTTCCTGGGACCTCTCCTGCCAGCTCGCTTTTTACGTTGGGGTACCTGAAACCAAAGCAAACAAACATCAATCAGACAGAAGAATGCAGACCCTCTGAATATTGCCACCATCATGGAGGTGTACCTGCGAGATATATATGCATCCATATATATGAAGCCAAACCACGATGGTTGTGTTTGTATTGGGCATGCCCAATGTGGATTAGACTTACGTTGCAGCCGTTCATCGGTATATGAACAGTAAAAACACAGTCAACCTGTGTGAATTGCGGAAGTCAAGCGGTTACAGCATAATGGTTTGTGATGCATGGGGTGTGGGTTCGATTCCCGGGTCAAAATTGTGGGCAGGGAGGTTTTTTTTTAAGGAAAATAAAGCCCGAGTGTTATAGGAGCCTAATTTCACACGTGAAGTTTTCATGGTTGGTTGAGCATCTAGATGTCATGCATTGTGCATGGTTGTGAGCCGTGGTTTGGCTTCATACGTGTGATTGCATACATAGCTCGTCCCTGCCGTTCTAATAGACCGTATTCTTGTGTCGGCCATTTTGAATTGAAAGTGAGGTAAACCTTTTCGTTTGGGAAATCCCACGTGTAAAATAACAGTGACAAACTAAAAAAGCACACAAATTCATGCCAGTTTTTGTTTAGAACAATTTAAAATGTGTGATAAATTATATCTAAATATTATAAGCCATATTTAAAACACTGAAAGGGAGGTTTGGAACCCCAAATAGTCTGTCTCCACCCCATTGAACAGATCACATTGAATATGATGGATGCAGGGAAGAAGACCAGAAACGGCTTCTCCACGAATAAGATCTGTTCAGCGACAATAAAATACCTACAGGCTCTACTCTATCTGTGCGCTGTATCCTATTTACTATCTACTGCCTATCCATGTGAATAAAAGAACGTACATGCCTTCAAGATGGTTTGCCATCATAGGGCTCTACAACTTTTGACCTTATAATGGAAGACTTGTAACTCACTTGCAATGACGTGTGAAAGATTAAGTCGGGACTGCGACTGATTCGATCATCATTCTGGTTTCTACTCACATGCTTGAGGCTGAGATCTTCCATGGAGAATATGCCCTGCTTCCTTAGATGCTCCTCAATCTTTGCCTCGTCGATGGAATCTACTGCCGTTGTATTCCATAACTCTTTGATTTCTGCAAGGGTGAAAAAAACAGCGAATGATGATTACAGGAGACTAACGTGTGCCCAAGACAAGAACCGGTCGAATCTCCTTAGGCTTTTGATAATACAGGAAACTTTTGAAAATGCAGGAAAGTTTTACATCATCTCACTGATCATTCTCATATATTTTTATTTGGTTTAAATTTTTTTTTTAGGTTTCTGAGCACGGGCTGTAAACGTCCTTTAGGCTCTTATGTCAGCACTGCACATGACCATCAAACAATCTGTGACTGTTTGTGTGTCTAGTCCTGGCACTTATGTTGACTTTTACCTTCATCGATGTTGAGCTGGGCTGACTTGTCGTTGAAGAAGACCACTTTCTTCTTGTCTGGCCTCGTTATAATGATGACAAGATCACCCAGAGTCTGGCATGCGCAAAGAAAGACATCCATCAGTAAAAATGATGAACCCTGATTATAAGAGCACCGTTAATACAGTCTGCTAACAATGAAGACAAGTTGCGGTACACTGTCTTTATTTTCTTTGTTTTGTAGTTCTGATGGTGCACGGTTTTCTTACAGAGGCAAACTCCAAATACCTCGATGCACTTTTCATAGTTGGGTAAGCTCTCCTGTATGTCGTCCATCATGATGCCCCCTAGACCCTGTTGGTCGTGTTTCTTCAGGAGTCGCTCCAGGCTCTTGCGACTCCGCAGAACGAAAGTTGCCTTGTAGAAGTACTTGCCATCTTCCATGCCGATCTTGGGGTTGTTGGGCAGGGCCTACGGACGTTGGGAACACAAAGTCATCAACAGCTGAATTAAAGAGAGGACTTTTTGAGGAGTAAGCAATATACAGCCCAGTCGCTATTATTTCACAAGCAGGGTTTTTTGTGTGCCCCTTGAAAGTTCAAGTACGCCAAATGTGCTACTAAGTTTTTGCGCAATGGAGTTAGAATCAGTCTTGCACTGGTAAGAGAAAGAAAAGAACTACACCCAAATTTTCCCGAACAAATTACCATACACTTCAGCAGCAGTCTCTAAATTTGACATGAAATTCATACATCTGCAAAAGCCATGAAATATAAAGCAGCACGAGTGACTGCACTAATCCAGGACTTAAGCTTAACCAGTTCAAGCTGGAAGATACCTAAATGTTGGAAAATTTAAAAAAAACATTCATTAACGTGAAGCTTCCGAAAACAAGTTAGTGAAGGCAGGCTAGTCTTGTGAAATGCTGTATGTGTTCCGTGAGTCTAACATTATTTCTGCGATCGCCTTGAGAAAAGGCTATGTAGTTGGCAATATTTACCTCATTGATCAGCCACATTTTCTGCTTGGCACCTATGTCCAGTTGTTTGGTTTCGTCCAGTATCTCCTCGATGCTGAGAGGGAAGGTATTGCCTTCCTGGTGACGCTGCTACAATGTCAGAGATCCAACAAGAAAAGAAACCAACTGTTCAACTGTTAACCAAGATCAAACAAAAACTGTTTGAGCGACAGGAGGCTACAACTCGCCACACAAAGTAAACTGGGCTTGGGTTCGAGCCTGTTACTCATGTTTAACGAGTACACTCCCGAGTGCATGAACTGCAGGAGTACAATCCTTGGGTGAGCGAGAGTATACTCTTACTCAGATGGGGAGTATACCATTACATCTCCTGATTATTTCAAGATGGCTGATAGGTACATGTAGCTCTTGATCACTTGTGCAATGTGATCCGAGAGTAATGCCGACGCAACATTTCTCGGTAGCTGCAAGTATCTAAAGTAACAGAAGGGGACGTAGCCTACCAGTAGCATGTCACATGATGGGAAAAAATTCGAAATTTAAGCTCGATTCTCTACAGCAGGGATTGCATTAGTGTTTGGGGGAAAAATGACAGAACAAACATGCTCTTTGAAAAGAGAATAAGCATTTCATGAGGTTTGGGCTGAAGATCTGCACAACAAAATGATGCATCAAAAACGGCCTACAATGTCAAGAGACTCAAAGACACCCTGTGGGCAAAACCTTGCTTTACAGCGTGCTTTTACCTTTTAAACTTGTTAGTTCAGATTCGAAGATGCTCACAATAAGGGAATCTGGGCTGGCTATAATCACTAGATGCAACAGAATGTGAAAAATGGTCAACCTGTGCTTGTTGAGGATACGACAGATAATTTGTTCAATTGTAAAAGCTAGGATTGTTTGAATGAGTTTTGCAATGTCTGTGCAACAGCCACAGGAACAAGGGAGAAGGACAAGACTTGGAACACTTTACAGAGTGCAGGATTTCCAAGGTAAACAAATAGAACTTTGCAACTACAATGGCCAACACTAGTCCAACTAGGGCCATTAAGTTTGTAGACAAAAATGCTGCAGTCTACGTGACGCTGAAGCACTTCTTAAATATATCTGGCACAAAACTTAAATAGGTTGGCGTCAGATCTAACATAGGGTCTACACCCTTACACCAACACAATTCAGCTTTCACGCTAACATTTATGTTTTTTTACCTTCATGTAGTCAACAATTTTGGCCAGAACGCCAAACTTGTACTTGGAGCTTCCTTGCATCATCTTATAGTTGAATCCTCCAGTGGTAGAGCCACTTCCATGACCATGGCCTTTCAAATAGTAACAAACAACGGTACCAGATTAATTCTGACTTCCTAAGATACTTCAACATCCACCTGGAGGTTTTGGAGGTTTTTTGTCGCTCACAGGAGGGCTGAGGAGGAAAGGAAGGCTACGGTAGGGTCAAATTCCCCCCTCCCCCCCCACGTTTTCTCAAATATTTCTTATGTGGTAAACCTCCTGGAGTTTTTCCACTGATATTTTGCCATCAGCTTGTCTGGCATTTGCCATTAACCCTAACCCCCAAGGGTTGCTGGCCCTAACCTTCCTCATTCACACAAAGTTAATGCGTTTGTGCACAGAGGCTGTTGGACTTTTTTTTTCTGAGGTATGCCAAACCCAATGCAAAAGCCAGCTGTTATGGGCCTACCAGACCAATCCCCACAGAATTAAACACTTTACTGCTGTTGAATTCTGTGTGGTTGGGGAAGTTTAGGGTTAAGCCATTAAATCACAGGTAGAAGAAATGCAAGTTTGTTGGGAAAGCAACTAACCTGACTTTTGATGGCTGGAAACAACAGCTGTCCCAGAATTGAAGAAACTGAAGGCGTTGCAAGACTTACCATGAGTGCCTGCGCTGAGAGGCTTCTTCCTCTTGGCTTGCTGAGAGGAGCTGGCTGGTTTGGACCGCTTCTCAATGACCGGCTGCGCCAAAGCTCGCTTGCGAAAGGCTTCCCTCTCCTTCAGTAGAGCGGCGTCCATCTTGAAGAGGTTACTGCCTGTTCTGCAACTTCTGGTCAGAATTGCTGGGGTAGCGCGAGTTAACCTGGATTGTTACTTGCAGACTGGCTGCACTACAAGGTACTCAGTGTTACTGCTGTGGCCCAATGAACAAGAAAAGAGGATTAAGTTTACAATACAGGTGATTCACAATACAGTGCGCCACCAAGAGGTTGCCATGGAGAGGTGTTTTCAACATAATTCAAAATTCAGGTCATGCACACTGCTCAGTGCTAGTCATGGTTAGAAACTGGCCAACGTTGTCCACGTAATAAACAAGAGGGTAGAGTTCTGTAAATTAATAATTAAGTTGCAGAAATCTTTCTCCAGCCGCACCTCTCCATTGATGAATTTTGACCTGCATCTTGAACTAGGCCTAGCATTGCTATTAAAAATAAGCAGCATTTTTTCCTACCTCCATGGTTTGGCCAGTCATACATGTAAATTATGACAGATGACAGCAAAGGATTTTAAAAGAGCAAAGTGAGCCAGATTTCGGCCTGATTCGCACTCTGTAAATGTGGGAACCTTAAAAATTGTGCGACACGAATCGAGCCACGTACATGTACGTCTTTTCCTTGCGAAGCCTAGGGATAAAATTGTCAATCGTGTCATCAATACATTCTTTGTTTCAGAGCGCCCTCTAGAGGGTGACAAAGACAATCCTCGAGCAAAATCAATCTTTCTTAAACGGCTGCATTTTGCACCCCAATAAAACTTACCAACAGTCCCTGTTTTCTTCATAAACATTTCTCATGATAACTGTCTGCTTTGCAGAGGGTTCTGTATTACAACGAATGCTTGTCTACGCTGTAAACGGGAAAAAAATGACACAAAAAGAGGGTCCCACTGTTTCATTCATTTGTCGTTGCTTCCTCTGTATTATATAGCGCCCCCATACGTGCGGCTTTGAAGAATGCCTGTGAAGTAGAAGTTACTATTTTTGTCAGGCTTAGCTAATACTATGGTTGAATATCTGTATAAGAATTAGAGTATTTCATTGAATCATGGCATTTCCGGAACACTCTAGCACGATTAGTGCCTACTGGGTCCTGAGTGGGGAACACACGATGCCCAAATATTTTTCTGTTTTAATTAAGAGGGAATCTATATATAGTTCCATTTTTTTAAAATTCTCTGGTTTGCTCTCATCTTGTTTGATAACTTCTAAGACAGAAGATGCCACTGAAAATTTGCGCCTTGATATAATTGTGTTCACCTCCATTGGGGGGATATCCCCTGTGGTTAATGACCAACTGGCTCTCCGCCTCTTTGTAATGCTAGATTGGTAAAAACAAGTGAAACGGCAAATTGACATGCCTCCATATTGATCCGTACAAAAATAAAGTAAATACTGACGACCATAAGGTTTATTTGTGAATGTTAAACAGCCATTGCTAATGTCCGGAGAAATTCGAACTCTTGTTACTGTAGGAAAGACAAATGGCGTATTTTTGGGGAGTTTATTCATTATTAACTCCAGGAGTCTTCCATTCTTCGCCTTTTTGATGACTCTAGTTGGAGACTGTTAGGGATGAAGATGGCAATGAACCACATAAATGCTTGGCTTTTTCACAGCAAACCTGCATGTAGTCCAGGTCTCCACAGAATAAAATCGTCGTTTCAGAGCCGGTGACAGTCCAAACATTGTTCAAGAATTCTTAAGTCCTCATCAAGCGTCTGCGCATGTTCGTCCGTGTCACTAGGCGTGTCTGCCAAACTTGGGGGTGATATGGGTAATAAACTCCAGGTCATGTGACAAGAACGAGAATAATAAAAAAAACGGGAAGATGGTCACCCTATGGGTACGTTCTTAAAATCTCAACTTATGTTGATTCAACACAGGGAAAGCAAGGGCTTTGAAACTACAGTAAACTGCACAATATAATACTTATGTTTAAAAGCAAACAATTTATATACAATGATAGCAAAAACTGAAATCAAAATTTGGTATGTCAGAAACAAAGGTGTAGACATGTTTTTTATTTACCCCTTTCCTGATGACGTCGAGTTTGTTGCCGCTTTTAAAATGCGGGGAGCAACTTTGCTTTCTTAAAGGGTTTTGGTTATTGTTAATGCGTTAATAATTATTTACATCATTCTGGGATCTTCACTAAATTGACAAGAACTCGATATCATCGATTCAGTTGTCTTCCATAGCTTAACACATATCGGGCAGGACGGTCTACATTTAATGCAATAGATATCGGCACCTCCTGAGAAAATATGTCCAGTGTCCATTGACTTGAGCGGCACTGTAGCAGCCTTACCCAAGTATGGTATTCGATGTCTTTAGTAATTAGGTAATTCCAGAAATTAGGGGTCCATTTTTTTCGTGTCCCTTTCACATCTGACATATAAGTTTCTAAGTTCAGAACACATTTTCTAATTTCCAAGAGTGATGAATTAATGCAAATTACCTGCCAAATAAAAAATAATAGCTTGAAATCAATTCCAGTGATATATTTCAATGTCAAGTAACAAAGCTCAGATGTAGCAGGGACACAAAAATGCCACACTTTTGGATCCCTAATTTCTGGAATTACCCAGTTATGAGTTGGATTTTACATTTCCGACCAGTCTGCATAGAGAAACATTTTCGTGTAAACTGGAAGCATTCAGAATGCACTGAAAGAAAATAGCACAGTTCGTTGTAATGAGCTTCTAAGACTTACCTATAATTATTCTAATGTGTTTTAAATGGACGAAAATGACCGTAAACTTGTGAAAGTACAGTCACATGACATGAGACCCATTACAGCACATCAGTGTGTAATCTTTCTTTCCTGTGAAGTATAAATCCAAGTAAATTCAGTCTTTTCTATTTTCATACAAAAGGATTATTAGCAACAGCCTCTGGTCTGGAAGCTTCACTTAAAATGGCCTTGCAACAAAATTTGTTTTACTCTTGTCAAAATGAGGAAATATCAGGCGTAGTACAATCCATACACCATGGCAACAGCGTACAAAGATCCGTTGGTGAAACTGGCGGTAGTCGAGGAGTCTGTGCGGTCATCCCACAGGCACCGACTGCCTAGGTGCGTGCCCGGCTTCTCCCGTGCGCTCCCGATGTTCACCAAGGCCACCAGCTTGTACCGGGGGAAGTCCAGCTCGCGGACCCGCTGGTTGATCTTTCCGGCGATGTCCTGAGAGAGTTGCTTGCAGCGGACCGGATCGTAGATCTCGTCGGCCAGGTGCGAGGCCAGGATGCCCTCCACCAGCCTACCAACCTCCAGCTCGCGGAACTTGCGGTGGCCTGGCCCATCCATGCGGAAGGAAGGCTCGAAGGCTGGGGGGCTGGAGGACCGACTGTCCTCACTACTTTCCTGCAAGGCAAGAGCCAGTAGACCTCCCGTGTTTGGCTCCATCTTGCTAGCAGTAAGAGACATGGGTACACCTAGCCTGCGAAGTTTACTCAAATAGCGAAGTTCGTTACCCGTCTAAGCAAGCTTTTTCTTCACCTGCGGCCCAGTTCCAGGGAGTAACTCAGCGCAACTGACTTTCTGATCAGCTGCAGTCAACAGTTTAGATATTTCTTTGGAGGGGAGGGGAAGAACAAAGGTGGAAATACCGGCAGAGGAAGAGCAATGAAGCTATCCAAATCTTCGGTGAATACAATTATTTTTATCAGACGTTACCGAGATCACAAGGGTTGCAAACGACGATCATCTGAGGCGATTTCATCAGTTTTCCGCCGGGTTAACGTATCAAGGGCGGGGATGTAATGACAGACCACGGCTTGCTTCGGACCGAGAGCCGCACTGCGGTGGATCCTCCAGGCACTTTGCTTTTAATCCAAACAGAAAGTTTCTGTTGATGTTTCGTCTCTAACATTCATCGGGAGGGTAATCATCTCTCCCTGCCAACAGCGTATCATTGCTGCCCACAACGCCACCAGTCCGCCCTCAAACACGAGAGGCATCAGAAAAAATAGGCTTAGGCACCCGTGTTTGACAAGTTTGTTGATCAAGAGAGCACACCGACCTGGCCTTCGTTTGTCTCCGTTCTTGCTCTCTGAATGTCCACAAGCTACTGTTTAAGTTGCACATCATGATGTTTGTCTTCCAGTTAGTCCCGGACAAAAGGGATACTTTTCGGCAAACAAGCGAGAGTTTTCATGAGACCCGGTGTTGTTCCCCTAGGCTGCAGAAGCGTAGATGTGTGTCATTTTTATTCTTTGCATTATGGCAGGGAGGACTATCATCGCAGTAATACTGCATCATTACGAATATGATGGGCCTCCTTGATGTGTTAAGAAATACCCCATAACACGCCTCGTTACATGGGCCATTGTGACTCTCATTATGTAGCGTCATTAAAATGACAATGCGTACTCCATCTCCCTCATCACAGACGGACTGTAGTTATTTTTTCCAGCACTTTGTGATACTGAGTGTAATGAAACATCCAAAAATATTGCGACCAAACAGGAAAGAGTGTCATTGTAAGATTACATCTTCCTCATGGACACTCACAAAAAAATCGAATACGGCAACTTTGGTTTGAAATCTACATCTTTGTAAAAGGATGTTTGTCACAGTTGCTGGTGGTCTTTGCAATGATCGTTCAATGGTGTAGCGTTTTTCCCCTTTTTTCCTTTAAATTTTGTCTTATCATCTGCGCTTTCCAAACTTACATGAAGATTCAATCCACAAAGGCTCTTTGAACTGTCAATTCTCCCCTTGTTTGTTCATTGCTTAATCTCATAAAAATAACTGGCAGCATTAGCACTAAGGCCTATTCAAAGAGAACAATTGTTTTTCTGTCCTGTGAAACTAATTTGAAAAATGGGTATCTCCAATACATTCTAAGATCGCAGAAGAATGCACGTTTGCACTCCACTGTCAGAGCCAGGAAACATCGTGGACAAAATGTCAGTAGCTAATGTAATTAGCAACCAAGCCGTACTCCATTCAAAGTTCTGAATTGGGGCTGCGCAGATGCTAACATTTGCACCCGTGGGTAAGCCACCAGCAAGTGGTGCATCATCCACTTATCCTGTCTGGTCACTCTGTGCATGTGTGATGGCAGCTAAAATCCTGACCAAATCTCTTTTGGGCCCTGGCCCCTCTCAATGTTGGATGTCGATGCGCGACTTGCGGTCCAGCTCGAGATGACACCATTGAGCGGGGGATTGGGGGACCTGGGAAGGGTAACTTCAACTGTCTGTCTATTGACACGTGACCCAACAATCTTGGCCAGGACTGTAGAAAATATCATTCTGATCTGTGGTGTGGACCAGTGATCAAATCTTTGAGAATACTTTGCCCAGGAACTGATGTTATACTGACTAGAATTATCTCACTTTCCACGCCGTGATATTATTTTGAACACATGTCATGCAGTGCCTATTGTACTTATCACCTATCGCAGATTGTATATCACTGTAATCAAATAACGAAAAAGGCTGCCAATGGAAATATCTGCCGATTCGACAAAAATTAAAGGAACCACAAAATAGAAATACTTTTATAAATTTTACTAAAAACTCTTGAAATTGCTTCTTTGGGTTTCAAGAAGCCATATTTTAAATTTTTCTTTTGCAATTTTAACCAATATTTTGATGCTTTTTTGGTTTTTATGCTAATGCATATTTCTATATTCAAGAGCAGAACTATGATGTCATCCAAAGCAGTGATTCTTAATGTGATTTGTGTATAGAAAATTTCTAGATTTTTTTCATCACTGCTATGGCAGGTTTCATTTTCTTTGGCCATTTATTGCTGTGTAAGTATATGCCAATAATCCAGTAAAAATCCTTTTCACAGAAATGTTCTAAGATAGCAAATTTGGGGTTCGCAATTTGAACATGAAAACATGTAACCCGAACCTTGGCTGTTTTCCAAAACTCGACTTGGGCTCCGTCTCAGGCTTCAACTTATTTTTTATTTTTTTTTTACTGCCTGACTTTGAGGTTTTAAGCGCAATAGTAAGTCTGATAGTGCCACATAAAAGTACAAAACATCAAGTAAGATGCAAAAGAGCCAAACATTACAGTACTTCAATTTAAGTTAAACGCTTCAGGCCCACAATCGTGGATTGGCTTCCTACACGAAGCCTGAGACAGGAAAACGGCCCAGGTCTCCCTGGATTTACATCGAAGCAAAAGCGCCCTCACTTGTCCGGAAAGCTTGCTCAATTTTTAATGTTTGAAAAAGTGTACCGTTCAGTTCACGTAACTCAAAAAAATGATGTCAAACTGTCCTCATACAAGGAAGGAGAGTTCAGAGATACACAATAAGTGATTCTCAGAAAAATTCATTTCCTGGATCCTTTAAGTCATGATTCGTTCTAATTTGACAGCTTTTCTCTTTGCTTTGCAGGGCCTTGACCTTAAGGGTTAAGCCTTGGCCTTGGGTTGCGGCTCAAAATCTTGGCCTTTAGAATCAAAACCTTTGCTCCAACACTGGCTTGTACTGAGACTGACATATATGAAATGGCAATACGACGTAATCGTATGATATATAAATAAAGTTTGAATATTCACTGACAACCCATCTTTACCTCGATTTACATTTTGACACTCTGAATTTGCAATTGTTTATGGAAAGGATACCTGCAATCAATTTGTTTTAAAGCAAACCTTCAGAATGCACCTGTCTGTCTTAGTTACCCTTACTTTCAACTTATACAATTTCCAAAGGGTATTTCGTTGCCTCTTTCGCTTTCATGCTGACGAGTCATATCCATATTCGTGAGTGCAACTGTGATGCTATCCCGAGAAGAAAGCCTCACTGTAACACCGGACTGTAAAAAAAGTGACTGATGAGACAATGCAAGTATTTTTAGGAAGAAGGACACACATCAGATCCACCATACAACACGTGTTCTTCGGCAGAACTATTGGGTTCCTGGTTCGGCTGTCATTTTATGACAGTAAAGAAGACAAGAGAAAACACTCCCCACCCGCTCGCCAAAAGGAAAAAAAATGGCGTGTCATTCATAATTTTATAATATTATGAAAGAGTTCAGACCTGTAGACAGGGGTATAGACGTGGTCCGGGGACTTAAAAATAGTAAAGAGAAGCTGTCAGGAAGAAAGTTTATTGTTGACGACCATTGTTTGTACGAATGTGTATTTTTACTACTTGATGCACTATTGTAGCGTGTTAATCACTAAGTCTTTACACAGCAACATTCTGTGCAGTAAGGTTAATGATTTTGTTATCTCCTTAATATGAACAGCGCGCGAAAAGCAACATCTCCGAAATGGCCGAGTGGTTAAGCTCGCGGTTATTAGATCGTTAGACGGTGGGTTCGAATCCCAGGGGTGGCTTTTTATTTTCCAAACGCTCGCTCT